ACACGTAGACATTTTCAATAAGTAATGGTATATAAAAACAATGAACTCTGGAAAAAAATTTTATCCAACCAAAAACCTTTTTGTATAAAAGGGAAAATATACGACACCAGCTTGCTGGTTCCATCAAGTGATTGTACCATCAGGCTCGAAGCATATAACTTACCAGCATTTTGTTAAACATTTTTTTTTTCTTTAATTCACAACTGCAATATCGTGAACTTAATCTTCCACAAACACAGCTTTGACTCATATAGTGCAAGAAATTTCCGCCAAAATACTTTTTACTTAGAACATTGAGCTAATTTCACCACTCACGACACCAGGATGCTGGTAAAATCACACCACAAGAACATACACGGTCAATCGACTTGATGGGTCATTCACAAAATTTAGCATATTAAACCGTGAACTTTTCAATTTTAAACTATAGTTAAATCGTTCACAGCCCCAACACTTTTACAGTTACAGTATGTATGTATAAAAGCGTAAGGAACATACAATACATATATATATATATATATATATATATTAGTCTTTCTTAGTTTAAAAATTCATCTCTTACATAAATGCAAAAAAAACAAAACAAATTAAGCATATACAACTTTTTCATGCCAAGTATGAATAAATTCTAAAAAGGGCTAAAAAAAGGGCTAGGGGCAATTTTAAATTTATGTGGCCAAAAAAAGTATGTGGTAGCTAAATCTAGCCACCAAAGGGCTAAAACGGCAACACTGGGCATAACTAGTATACGCTCTTCATGTCTAAGAAAACGAATTGTTTGAAACGATCTACCTATGCTCGTCAAGGAACGAAACAGAAATCGTTTTGTTTGCAAAGGTACTGGTTTTGGTTTTGCTCATGTACAAAACGATTTGAATTGATCGCAAAGTTTTGTATCTTTGGACGAATCATTCGTGAAATGTTTCGTTTGTTTTCGAACCCTGGTGGTAAGCAGTGCGCACTTCCACTCCGTAGGAAAAATATATAGAAAAAATGTTTTCACTTAACAGCTATCGCCCCTCGGCAGGCAATGCCCGAAGTCGTAAAATATAATAGATTTTATAATTCTGATGAAAAAAAAGTACCAACTTTTTTATGCAGAGTGGTGCACCCTAATGCACGTATCTATTCATTTGGTAAGGAGAACGAACACTTTTGATCAAAGGGTAAAAAAACATACATCTTGATATTTGTTGAAGTATACACTATGATTTATTGTGCCCTATTACTTCCTACTATTGATACCGTAAGGAAATCCTATGGGTTCTTTGGTGACCTGGAGTGTGTTTTTCCTATGGGCTTGATGACCCGAGGTATTTCCTTCATCCTATCCATACGGCATCGCATTCGAGGAGCACAAAAATGGCATGAACCGTTAGACCAGCTCCCTAGTTTGTATAGGTGACTTCCTAATCTGCGGTGGCATGTTAAGATACGTATTTTACCTATTTATTTGCTCATAGATAACTCAAGTATCAGATATGTAAGTATTTGTAAGTATTATCTTATTATTATTATTATTATCTCCCAATAGCTTCTTTATCCGTTGCTTCCCAGAAACTAGTTCTGTTCTCTATTCGTTATTTCTTTTTTTATTAAGCTCTTCTCCGATGGTGTGGTCCTATGACAAGGGAGGGTTAAGGCCCTACCGAGTTGTGCCCGCAACCTTACTACCTCGTCGTTTCTATCTACGCCCATATGGCTTGAAGCACAGAGAAAGAAGACCGTATTGTTTCCCCTAAAGCACTACGCACTAGTGAGCCCACAGCGATTTTATTTCGAGGGAAAGAAGAACCCTGTGACCGGCCTGGATGTGACCTAATATGTTGATGTTCTCATCCCAATAACTCTGTGGAATATATTACATACTGGGGAGTTTACTCATTGTAACTAAGATCTTTTATCTGGGTCCAAAAGTGCTGGTTTTTAAGCCTTCGGCTATGTTGGAGCCGCCTATGTACCCTGGGTACCAAATGGGAGTATTTCCTAATATGTACTCGCACCCCTAGCTCAATTTGAATTAATATCGCTGTTGATATAGTCCCAAGTTAACTCGGGCAGGGGTAACTCTAACGGATAACAAAAGTAGCAAATACTAACGCATAATAACCGGACATTCGCACTATCTGAACGGATATCGGAATACACAGTTCCAACCGTACTCACTACCCATTGCTTATAAATGAGTCTTTTCGATCACTAAAAGATATAATTGCGCAGCTTGTCTTCAGCGTTGGCTTCCGGCTATTTAAATATGTACATATATCACATTGTGAAACCCATATATCGTTAATCTACATTTGCGACCTCCAAACATATATTCGATATTTCGTCCGACCGAGGCACCTTATCCTTGACTATCACTTCTCACTTCTTGTTTAGTTGCGAATGTCCAAGTCAAAGTCACGGCGGTGAGGATCATCAAGATTTAGCCATTACGATTTCATACGTGAGACACGCTATTCTTCAATTGCGCCCTTAGCGATCAATAAATTAAGTCACGTTCTATGTGATTTCTTTCTTTTGTAGAATACCTGCATTGCAATACGACGCTACTTTATCTAGGACAGCGATACGTTATTATATTTTTATTAGTGTTGGAAAGTATCGAGTTCTTTTGAGGATCGAGTTCTTTGGTATCGATACTTTTAAGGATCGGGTATTTTTCACAGAGTACTGAGTACTTTCTTTAAATATACATTTGTTGGTAACATTTCAGTACTTAGTGTAGAAATCTCACAAGCTGGCAGTATTTTATTCAAATTAATATATAAATCCCAAATTACCTCAAATGAATGGCTAACTGTACTGGGTACAAGTATTGTACTTGATAATTATTGAAACTGCAAATTGAGTACAATCATTTCGGAATACCGTTAAATGTTGAACTCGGGCAAAATCGCTTAGACGGTCATAGACCCATATAAGAAGAAGAAGAAGTTAAATGTAAATAAAACTCCGTTTTTTTTTTAGTCTATTCGACACTCTGAGTACTTTGAATCGATCCTGAGTACATGTATTTTGAGTATTTTTGAGTTCTGAGTACTTTCGAATTCCTTTTTTGAGTACTGCGTTTTTTTGGAATACTCAGTATCGCTACTTTTAAAAATCGGGTGCTGTCGATCCTTTTGAGAATCGAGTTCTGAGTACTTTTAGTATCGATACTGCCCAGCAATAATTTTTATTAGTAGTAAGTTAATATTATTTAGGGTAAAAAATCCAC